CAAATGCAATAATGCCTGGTTATAAAATGTTTACTTGGTCTCATTTAGGCTTACAAAAATTTTGGAATGAAATATTAAATAGCTATTTAACAATCCAACTTGCATAATATTTAATGTTTCCTGATAAAAAAAAAAAAAAACAAAACAAAACAGCAACAACAACCAAAACACTGCTACTTCAATTTACTCAGGAAACAATACATTTTGTTTAGTCTCTCTTACATTAGCAATAGCTTTTTGTTTATTTAATTGTGTGTTTATATAGATTGTTTAAAACCAGAATTTTTTTTTTTGCCCCCTTTTCCCAGAGAAAAAACAAATGCCCATAAAACAACTCAAGACCTTAACTGGGCATCCTTCAGTCTTGTTAGAATGAACACTCTCTGAGGTCTGATGTCAACTCAAGCTAGTAGAAGGGACAAGAAAAGTTTGTATTTATCACAAGCCTGAAATTTTTGGTCACACTTGTGGCATTTTCTTTGAGGCCTATAATTTTTTTTTTTAATGTGAAAAAACTCAGCCTCTCTTCCAAGAGTCTAAAACATTAGAGAAAATTAGCAAAAGTGACAATTCTACATGGTAAGAGCCATGGTAAGGCTGATTTGTCTGCAACTGGCTGATCTTGGGGAAGAGATCTGTAGTGGGGAGCACTGGAAGGGAGCTTGGCAGAGGGCTGAGATTCAGTGTCAGGTCAGTTAAAGCCTTTTTACACAAATACAGGAATGTGATAAGTGTTGAAGTCAATGCCAGAATTTACTTTCTTTTCAGTGTCTTCTTCGTGTCACCCAGAAGTGTCTTTAAAAGAATTAAAATGCAAACAAAAGCATCTTTGACCAAAAGGTCAAATAGTCTGATAACATTTACTTCCCGGAGAGAAACGACAAAAGAAAAGTGGCCTGGGTTTTACGTTTTGTGTGTGATAAATGGATGTGAGTTTTCAAAAGGAACATATATCTGAAAGATTACCAAAAATAGATCTTTTAAAAACTTTCCTCTACTGTTGGATGACTGAGAAAGAACATGCAATCAGCTTGCCACTGAAGATCAAGGGTCTTGGACAAGCATAGCTCCTCCTGAGGTGCAGCTGGTAGGACTGACATTGTCCTTTAAATTTAAGAATTTACTTGGAGAATATGATTCTGCCTCTCATACAGACCACATGGTGGAAGCTGCTGCTACAGAATATTTTGGAAGGTTTAACTGCTGTTATGAAAATGTTTAATGCTCTGAAGAACAGTAATGCAAAAATCCTCCACACCAGGGTATTTGACACTGTAAAGCAGCTCAGAATTGAAGGTTAAATGTAATAATTTTTTTCCAGGTCCTAAACCTTCCTCCCTTTTGTATTTTGTTTTGTTTTTCTTATCTCCCCCCCCCCCCCCCCCCCCCCGCTTAATTTATTGCAGACTATAGAAAACATAGATTCTTGCTGTTCTACTTAATTCACTTGAGATGCTTTCTGGATTTTTGCTCCCTTGAGTATATTCCCTATTTCATGTTAAGCCTCTTCCAACAGTCTGTGTTCTGCACATGTTCCCATCTTTGTAGTTCTTCATGGCAGTTTTGTCTACTTCCATCTTTTCTGTCATGCTTTTATTTTTTTTTTCTTTATAAAATTTTATAAAATTCTCCATGTAGCAATTGTTCTTTCTGAGAGATTGGAAGCAGTAGTTGTTTTCTGCCGTGTAGAATTTCTGAGATTTCTCAGGCTATTTTCTTGTCTTTGCTCTCTGTATGACAGACCTTTGTGATTTTTAAAGGCAATTTTGTTTTTACTGTCATCAGCACACGGCTGCATCCTCCTAACCCTTTCTTCCAACCATATGGCACCCACAACTTCAGTTTGCTACAAGGAGAGTAAACAGGGAGAACTGATTGAATCCACTTTTTATTTTTTTGAATCAGCTTTTTATTTGCGAATCTTTGACCCAGACATAGGTTCAAAAGCATTTCAAAACTTGCTGTTTCCTAACTCCAGAAACAAATCTTTTAGTTAATTGGTGTTTACAGCTTGAAGCCTGGATTTCATTACAGTTATCCATGCCTCTGTGAACTCGTGGACTACTTGAATGTCTGCAGTGCATTTCCTCCTCATGGCTACGCTTGCAGGCAATTTTAATGCTATGGCAAAGTTGGAATGCAAATATGTGCCATGGAGGGGTAGCACGTGAGAATGACAGTGGCTGACCACTTCTTGAAGTGTACCCAGAGATGAAAAACGTTATCTTCTTCAAAAGACTTTCAAGCAGTTTATGACTGAAACCTGACTCGAATCTTGCAGCCAGGTATAGTGTTCAAACCCAGCCTGTGTGAATTAAGAACCTTCTGCAGGTAACCCATCTACTGTTTAGGATAACTTGGTAAAGTAACTGAATGTGACAGATGTGTTTGTTTATTACTGTGTAACATTCACATCTCAGTAATAATACTATGTTTTCCCTTATTATTGGCAGGAATAAGCCTAACCTCCTTTTGATGTGTTTTTGGTCCCTAGGCTTTTCTGGATGTGAACGGGAGACAACTCCAGTATTTATTTATCTGCTCCAGCAATACTTGACATCAGTTAATCACCTAATTTTACCAGTGTTCATATCTGTATCTACCAATTAATAAGCACATTAAAATATGTTTTTACAATGATCGAGAGTGACATCCCTGTCAGTATTTCTATGAGGCTGAAAAGAAAATGTTATAGGGAGGTATTCAGTCAAAAAATACATAAACATTAGAGAAATTATTCAAAAGGCCACAAACTGAGAGTTGCTTATATTATTTTTTTTTCCTTTTTTCCATGTATAATAATAAACTGACAAACAAGATCTAATGAAAACTTATGAAGCTCAGACATTGAGGAATTGCTTCCAGAAATCAGAAATTTTTTTTATTTTTAAATCAATCCCAGAAACCAGTTGGCAAACTTCTGAGCTTCAGAGTTAGCAGTTACTGACCAAATAAAAAACAAACAAACAAACAAACAACATAAACCCAAAACCAATTCTGCTGCTTTGAGTTGTTTACTTCTTTTTCTTTGCAGTAACGGCACACATATATGTGCATGTGTTACTTTTTACTAGAAAGGATTCTTCAGAGGCTCAGACTAGAAGACAGACAGTTGGGCTTTTCAAGATCAGTAAAGGGGTATTTTGTTGTGCACACTTCCAAGGACTTGGGTTGTCCGTGTGAAGGCCAGGAAATGAGGAATAGGGGTGGGTCTTTGCTATGAGCTCATTCAGCAAAATGCTAAACCACAGCTTCCTAAGCTCTACAGCAGTCACTGACAAAGAATGAATGCTTTGTACGGCTGCTTCCCCATGTGCAATTCCTTTCTGCAGTATAAATTGCCTAATTCAGTGGTTGTCTAACGTCATTTCTGCAGTCCCTCATTGGATGCATCAGATTTCAGAATAGTATTCCAAACTACATATTTTTTTCCTATTTTAAATCTTGGAATAGTGTATAAACGAGGCTTCATTTTGCTGTTAGATGTAAAAAAAAATAAAATGTATCTTTAATCATGGCCTACAAATTGTCCTTTTTCTCCCAGAGGATTTTGGAGCACAATAACTTCAAGTGTATGCCCAGTGTTGTTTGCATGAGATATGGAAAAAAAATCAACCAAACAAAACCAATACCAACATAAAACTCAAGTTTTACCAATGCTGGTAACACTTCGGAACACCTCAAGCCAACTGCATAATGATTACTGAATGCAACTGTCAGATTTAGCCTAATAGTTAAAATAACACAGACAAAAAAACCCACCCAGACTTGGAGACACTTATGCAAGATGTGTCCTTTTTGTCAGAAAGGTCAGCAGTTTAGTTTTGTTTTGTTTTGCTCAAATAGAACATGATGGCATTATTTGGTTGTTTGCATTTTTAAATTTTCAAATTGAATTTATCTGCAATAACAACTTTGTTTTCTTCCTGGAATGGAGGTTGGGATTTAATTTTGTTGATGGCACAGTCATCTCTGAAGCCTCATTGTCTAGGAAACAGTGGGCTAGCTTTACACATGGCATGGTTAGTATGTAAAAGCAATATATTTTTCAGTTCACATTTACAATTTGAAAAAAAAATTATTTTTTTTTCAGCACAAAAGACCCTCTAGCATATCTCCTTCTTAAGGTGGTGGTGTTTTTTTCAGCTGCTGCTCTTCCTTAAGAACCCAAGCAGAGTTAAAATCATTTGCACAAGCCATTCTGCTCAGCGTTATTGTAATAGTTGAAGTAAGCTGAGGAAAACAGCCTGGTCAGGCCAGAGAAGGCTGAAGGAGGTCTGGCACTGCTCTTTCATGGCCTGTTCAGGGGTTACAGAAAAGACAGGAGCAGACAGGCACAGCAAACAGTCAAGAGTCCTGAACTGCCACAAGTGATCTTGTAGTTAGACAGAAGGCTAAAATTCCTCACCCTGGAGCGGTTTTGTAAAGGTGCAGGTTCTATGTATGGGGCAGTAAAGTCTCTCCCCTCAGCTGCTTCTGCAACTGGAGGTTGGAGATCTTCGCAGAGTTTTTTTGGAAGTACATAATGATGTTTGTGGCTGCTGCGGAGGGATGAAAAAGAAGGAAGCTGGAAAAGTTTATCTATAAAAAGCACGAACAAGAGACGACTACAGGGACAAGACAAAATGTGCAGTTGTTGTCGAGCCCTAAGGGTCTTCACGAGGGTGCTGAGAGGACCTGTGACAGTGCCCCCTCTTCCACCTTCCCGATTACCCAACTCTAACCAAAAAACAGCCGCTAAAGGGAATTAAAACAGTGCATTGCCAAGAGCAGGGTGGGGGGCGAGTAGTCGTGGGGACGGGCTGCGCTGCTCCCCGGTCGGGTCATGGAATCACAGACTATCCCGAGTTGGAAGGGACCCACAAGGATCCCCGAGTCCAACCCTTAGCCATTCACAGGGCACCCCAAGAATCACACCATGTGCCTGAGAGCACTGCCCAAACTTCTTCAACTCTGTCAGGCTTTGTGCTGTGACCACTTCTCTGGGGAGCCTGTTCCAGTGCCCAACCACGCTCTGCGTGAAGAACCTATTTCTTTTATACATCCTAAACCTGCCCTGACACAACTTCAGGCCGTTCCGTCGGTCCTCCCGGTCTCGCCACGCCCGGCCCCGGGACGGGAGCAGAAGCCCCGGGGGCAGCCCCTGCCTCTGCCCGCCCCGCACGGTGCGGGTATCCCGCGGGCCGGCTGGGGATGCTCCGCCGGGGTTAGGAGGGCCCCGCTGAGCTCGGGGCCGCCGGCCGTGTGTGTATCTGTGTGTTTGTGTGCCTGTGTGAGTGTGAGCGGGCGGGCGCGGGGTCTGCGCTGCCCGCTGGGGGCGGCGCTCGCTGCAGCGCCGGCCCCGCTGCCGGGCGGTCACGGCGGGGGCGGGGAGCGCGGCCCCAGCGCCCGGCATGAACCCACGGCCGGGGCACGGAGGCGGCGGTGCTGCCGAGGTACGAACCGCCGCCCCCGGCAGGTGCAGGGTCCATTTTCCCCTCCGCCGCCGCCCGCGGCACCGCCTGTCCTTGCGGGGCCGGGTCTCGGCGCGGTCCCGCCCGCGGAGCGCCGAGCGGATCCCAGCCGAGCCGGCGGGGCGGGGAAGGGTGAGGGAAGGGAGGGGAAGGGAAAGGAGAGCCAAGCAAAGCGTGCCAGGCCCGGCCGCGGGCGCGGGAGAACCGAGGTGAACCCGCGGTCTGCGCCTGCCCGCCCGGCCCGGCGCTCCCGCCTCCCCCGCGCTCACGCCGCCCGCCCCCCTCTCTCCCTCCGCAGGGAGCCGCAGGGCGAGCGGCGCTGCCGCGGCCGGGCCAGCCACCCCCGGGTCCATGAGCCGCCGCCAGCCGCCGCCGCCAGCCGGGACCGCCGCCGCCGGGCCCAGCTCCCCCAGCCCCGCCGCTTCCGCCGCCGCTCCGCCGCCCCGCCGGAGGTGAGTCCCGCGGCCGGGCCGCCGCCGCCCCGCGGGCCCCGGCCCCTGTCAGCCGCGCCGGGGCGGGGGGAGGCCGCCGGCAGCCGCGGGAGCGCCCGCCGACCTTCTGGGGAGGGGGAGATGGGGGGCGGCTGGGACCCCCTCCCCGGGGGTGTGCGCCCCGCCGGGCAGCGTGGGCTGGGGTCCCCCGGAGCCCGCGGAGGGCAGGCGGCGCTGCCGGAGGGTCGCGCCTCGTCCTTCGCGCCCCCCACCCCGAGCGAGGGTCGCTGCCTCCCCGGTGACTCACGGCGGAGGCGGGAGCGGGCTGGGTCCGGGGCCGGCGGCCACCCGCGCCTCCCTCTGTCCCTCGCCCCGCTCGGAGAGCGCTACCTGTGTCACCTTGTTTTCCCTCTCCCCGCAGGACGGTCCCGCGCCCTCCGCTGTGAAGAGCATGGCCGTGACTCTAGAGCAGGCCCGGCGGGTGGGCTATACCTGCCTGAAAGCACTCCTCAGGTTCGCTTTTATGGTCGCCAATAACCTGGTCGCTATTCCGTCCTACGTCTTGTATTTAATTATGCTGCAGCCTCTCCGAATGCTGGATAGTACAAGCTTCTGGTATATCGAAGGAGTGTTATTTAAGTGGCTTTTAGCTATGGTGGCTTCCTGGGGCTGGTGGGCAGGATACACAGGTAAGAATGTGCTATTAATTTAAAATGTACTAATATAAAGATGTGAATAAGTGTTAAAACAGAGATGTTTTCGGATGGAGATGTGCAGGGGAATGCCTGAACATAGTGGATATGCGGGATGTTTTTCTTTCGGTTTTCTTACACAGATGCATTGTGTTTCTGGGTTGAGATGCTGTGTACTGAAACGTTTTTTTTTAAACCGTAGATAGAAACTTAATATGTGTTAAGGGTTTCTAAACCGTGTTAAGGGTTTCTAAACCAATATTTTGTCTTAGTGTAAATGAGAAATATGATTTTTCCTAAGTATCTTGATCACTGTATTTTAGTGTTACATGAAAAAGGTATATCTCTTCAAAAGAGAGTTGATTTGTACTGTGCATGTAGCCAATAGAGCCAAACTTTTCTTTATTAAGTCGGCGCGTCTCTAAGTCGTCTTCCCTTAGAACTATCGGGACACAAGGCTAAGAAGTGTTCAGAACAAAGTGTTAAGAACAAAGTTCATGTCGGAAGAGTAGGTCTTCTATTCTTTGCAACAGCCACTGTCTTTTCTGCTGCTTCAGAATGGAAGGAAACAGAAGGAACCTCTTTCATCTGAGTAGTGATACACAGTATTTCTCAACTGTATGACTCTTCATTTACTGTTAGCAGAGCTTATTACAGTATCTGTAGTGTTTTTCCCCTCTGCATGCTTGGTTTGCGGTTATTATTAAACTTGTTTTTGCTCGTTTAGTATTCATAGGCTCATCAAGGTGATGGACTGAACTGAAATATTAAGGAAAGCTCTAGTCTTGTCCTCAAATGCACCAATTTTCATCCTGGCTGCTGCACTTTGTGCAAGAAAAACAGCCATCAGTTCTTCGTACGTGCTTAGAAAAGGGAGGAAATTAATTGGCTGAGCGCAAAATATGAGCAGCCCTCCTAAAATTCTTTCCCTCTCTTCTGCCCAGGCTGCATCTGCAGGTCTTGTCCATGTAACCAAGGAAAAAAAAAAGGAATGGCAGCACACAGCTCTGGAGTCTGGTCAGACTCCTGAGTAGTCAGAAAGTCAGTGTTGACCCAGACGGAGCGCTCTTTTTGTTAGGCAACAAGAGCTGAAGCCTCTGTGATAATGTGCCTTTTGGTACCCTGTCGTGTGCCTTTCCGAGATGCACAGAGTTTCTGTGGATACTCTAGGTGAGCTTCCAGTTCTTCTTAAAGAGATGGTGGCAGCAGCAGCAAGCTAGATTCTGGTCTGTCGGGCTAGAACTGTCGCAACGTTGCACTGCTTCAAAATTGCCTTGCCTGGTACAGCTCAAGCATATCCAGATACGCTGTTTAAAAACCTTTTTATCTGTTTGTATTTGCTCATTAAAAGAAGTCCACATAGTGTTTGCAGTGGCAGGTATATTTGTAAAAGTCTGCTTTATGCCTTAAAGCACAAATGTCTTCCAGAAGGAAGGATTGACTTTTAAGGTGTTGTGTGTTTTATCAATTGGAAATGGGAAAGTTTAGGGGCATAATGGCAATGTTAAAGGCATACAACTTATGGCCCCGAGGATTCTCTGTGTATATTGAATGTGCTAGTTAAAATTCAAGCCATTGTCCCATGACACTATGGTTGTCAATTTCTGAAAGCAGTTTCCTCAGGGTAGTTCTACTGCTGACTGCAGAACTGTGTGGTTTCTTTTGCCTATTGCTTGGAAAGTGGTCTTAGCATGATCTGCATATCCTAGAGTCTTCCTGAAGCATCTGTTGATTGGCGTTGCTGATGTATCTTGACTATTTGAAATCATTTGTTTTACAGTCTTGAAATGTCTTAGTACATTTGTTTAAACTATCATTTATGGACAGCTACGCAGAAGTGTTTTATGGGATGGTATATGGGTAAGGAGGCCCTTCTTTTTGCTTTTCACTATAAAGCATGGCTTTTGGGGAGGATTTTAAGCAAATGCTTGTCTGCATTTTTAGTTTAAATACGTTTTATTTGACCTGAAGACATTACTGTGTTTTATAAAGAAAGCTACAAAATAGCAAGAACAGCTTTGTCCTTTCTTTAACCTCATCAGTCCTTGCCACCACATGCAGTCCCCTCTTCCTTATATAGTAGGATATAACTAAATCAGAACTGAAATTCTACTTTATTAGAGTTGGTGTCTGAGACTTGCAGTGGTACATCTGAAAGAGACATTGCTCCAGGATTCTTCTGTTTTCAATTCCAAAAACTAAGTCAAACATAGGCTTTGGTATGTTCCAGCTTTGCTAAAGCAAATACAAGATAGTAGGTATGCATGGGTTCATTGAAAAGATTAGAGATTTTTCTTTTGAGTAGCAGAGTAGTTGGTGAGGGTTTTTTGTTTGTTTGTTTGTTCTATGTTAAGAGGGTAACCAGCTAAATAAATTTACTTGTCTTTTAGTTGGAGGGAGTGTTCTGCTTCAACTGTGTTGCAGGTGTGTTTTATTAGTTTATTTACTTCTTCCTTTTACAAGCTTGGGTCATCTGTTTTGTAAGAAGTGACATAAACCATTTGTAATTCGTGACTTAAACTCAGCCTGCAAAGTAGATTCAGGGCAGACTTTTTTTACTCCTATGAGTTTGTATGTAATGTGTAGGAGAGAGCTTGACACCAAATGAAGAAAATATGGTGAGTGCTAGCTTATCCTTCTGGGCTTTGCTGCTGTTGTGTAATTGTTAGTATATTTTATTGAATATAGCTGGAAGAGCTGAGGAACTCTCATGAACTAGGTCTGCCCTTCTCTTCCCCACCCCTGTATAAACCTGTGGTTTTGTGTTAGGATCATAGAGGATTTGTTACAGAAATTACATGATCTGTGTCCATATCGGCAGCTCTAATCTGTACTTTTTGATAAATGTTGATGTTTCTGTTTGCAGATGCACTTGATGTTATGTAAAGAGATAGCATATAACTGGACAAGCAAAATAAAGAAAGGAACGGGAAGAGAAATTGTAAAGGTCGCTCTCCTTTCCCTAATCTTTTTCTTCTTAAGATGCAAGTATGAGAGAGAACTTGAGTATAATTGGTTGCCTTTGATTTTTAAAGGGCAAGTATGATAAATATCTGTGTTGTTCTCTTGAGCTCTGTAGTGCTTCTTATGAAAATGAAAACTGAATGTCTTCTTATGAAGAATGTTCAGACAGTCTAGCAATATTATTTTATTTTTATATGATTTCAGAAAGGCCGCCTTATAACTAAGTCTCTTTTTTAAAGGCTTTTTATATAAGTGTATTGCTCTCCTAGGAGCTATTCAGTTAGGGCACTCAGAATCTGCATATTAGTGTGATTTGAAAGGCACCTTTGAATAATACTTCTAAATATTTTCCTGCATTTGTTGGAAGATGCATTCTAAAAAAAGCAAACTCGAGAGTGCTTGATCCTTTGTTGGCAAGTACCTTTTTTCTCCTGCACTGTAATTTGTCATTTAATATATGAGTACACCAGATAGCACTAAATAGTGCAGCAGATATAATGGAAGGGAGATGGAGCGATATCTGTGATGGTGAATTCCTGATGACCTTTTACTCACCTACAAAACTAGTTTTACAGCAACCGTCTTGTGGATTTGATCTTCTTTGGTCAAGTAACTATTGCAGGCTAAAGTTTAATATCCCTGTATCTAATCAAATCGCCAAAAATAGGACTGCTAGAGAGAAGCTTGCTTTGCCTGATTACACTCAAACTGTTTTGTTGCCTTCTCCTGCTGTCTAAACGCAGGAGTTCGTGTGAGCCTGTGATAGCGTCGTTGCAGTATTGCAATTAGGAGTCTCTAGGACAGCAGAGTAATGGGTTAGCAATGCAGTCCTGATACTCACTGTGCTGATCTTCTGCTTCTCTCTGCTCCACACAGTCCCACTGTAGGGAGCAGTGCTGTGTGCCCAGCCTGTGCCTCTGGCTGGGGACAGGGAGGAGCTGGTGGAGGGCGGGTGTCCTCTGTCTGCAGCAATGTCAGCTCCTCTGCCTGTCAGAGCACCAGGGGAGAGGAGGTTGCATGTGATCGGCGGGGTTCTATGCACCTCCGGGAGGGGTTTTCTTGAGAGCTGTGCTTGGAGTATTTCACACTCCAGCAGTGAGGAGGACACCTTGACCAAACCTTCCGTTTCAGCCTCTTAACAACACACACTGTCTTGCAGTAACGTTGGGCAGGTCGGTGGGTCGTGGATTGGTGAAAGAGTAATACACCTCTGTTACCACACACAAAAAAGTCTTAATGGTATGAGTATGCTTGCTAGTATAATGATGCAGTACTTAATTAAAAGTGAACTAATCTTATGGTATTACTATTCAGTGTCAGCCAGGATGGTGATTTTAAAAGAGGGTCTGTAAGAATTGTCAGGTTTTGTTGAGAGAAGAGAATTTCCCTTTCTTCCTCCTTTGTTATTTTTCCCAAGCAGAGTAAAACTGAGATTTTGATTTTTAGTTTTCCCCCCTCCTCTCCCCTCAAGTGATTTCATTTTTGTTGAATGGTTTGTACGTCTGATTAATATGTGACCACTCTATAATTTTTCAGCAGTCATATTTTTCTTTTTCCTTCTAATTTAAAATCTTATTTTCATTCTGTCAGCCAACAACCTCAACTCCTCTAATCTTCTAAGAATGCAAATATTTTTGTCTTCCAGAACTGTAAAAGATACAGGTGGAGTTGCTGTGACGACACTTCCTCCATGCAGACAGCAATCTCTGTCTGCTCTGCTTCTCATGACAAGTCGGCCCCTCTCCTCGGGCAGGAAGTGCAGCAGAGGCTGGAGGACAGCAGATGAAATA